CATCGACTCTCCTATCTTGATTCTGAGGACTGCCGCAGACAGTTCCAGTCGTGGTATCGTTACGGGTTTGATAGGTGCCACTCGAGACTTACTGAACAGCAAAACGCTGTTAGCCGGTTTTCTTGCTGGAACGCACCACGCGTNCTTAACCACTTCTAGACACCTAGCAAATCGTACCCAGCTTTCCCAAATACTGGCATCTACAGCATTGAGAGGTTGGTCCGAACCCGTTTTAGATTTACACAAGGTTTGCAGCAATTGCTTTGCTGGGAGGCATAGAGGAGCTACCAGACCTAGCGGGTCAAACCACGAACTGACGCTGGATACCATACCTCTTCTTGTCACTGGCCTATCTAGTAGCTGGAACTGGAACGCAAAAGCATCTCGTGTTGTGTACCACTGCACACCCAAAGCTCTCTGACAACTGGAATCAAATTGAGGCAGTTGAACCAGGTTGGTACTTTTGCTGTCTTCGGAGAGGGATTCTGCAAGTTCGGGTGAGTCAGATGACCACCTTCTCAGTTTAAAACCACCTCTTCCCAATATTTGGGTTATTTCCTTCGCAAAAAGTAAGGCTTCATTGCATGTTGTAAACGATGCAAGACAGTCATCAACGTAGAAGTTTTCTTCTGTGGCTTTTAGCACCGCACGCCCGTAACTACTACCGAATGCTCTTGCAGCCATGTTCAAGGCAAAATTAGCGCAAAACGGTGGAGAACTTGCATCAAACGGGTGAACTGTCATTTGAAATTCCTCGGGATTTTTGAGTGGGTCACCCTGTGGCCACCAGAGAAATCTCAATGCGCCTCTTTCATGTTTTGGCACCTTCACTTGCATAAACATCATTTCTATGTCAGCTGTAGCAGCTACACGTCCCTACGGAATCGCAAAAGTATACCCACTAAATTTGATAGAGCATGTAATTCAACGATTGCCCCTTGTGTTTTGCCGCACAATCCAAAAATATACGCAGCTTTTCCGGCTTTTTTGGGTTTAATACCGCATGATGATGCAGCTACCAACGAGGATGAAAGTCGCATTGTAACTGTTCCTCATGGACTGGTACGGCATATCCCTTCTCCATAGTCATCTTCATCGTTTGTGCGTAGCGGAATCGTAGCGATTCGTCATTACTCAAGCGCCGCTTCAGGCTGTTCATCCCCGAGAGCGCTGATGCATAGTTTGCCATACCGGTATTGACACCATTCTTCCATGGCAGAGGGACCACGAAGTGCCCACTGACGAACATTGTACCAGACTCTACAATAGCGATAGACTCTGTGTCGTCTACGGAAATACGTTGATCTAATAACTGAGCGTCTGTAAATTCTGCATCGTACATTGACATCATCTGATGCAATAAATTTTAGTCTTCTGCAGCCAAGCAGTTGACCGACTGCATTTCGTACGGAGCGAAGCTTGA